TTCAACAATGAATATTTGCAGTTTGGTGTTTAAAGAGAAAAGGTTTTCTTACATCTCATCTTTCTTTTTTTAAAATAAAGTTTGATTTTATTTACCTCCTGTGAGATTGGTTTATCTCCTACAGGGAGAGAGAAAAATCTGAATCATCTAGCTACCACATCTCTACCTTACGTGACTACAAGGATTTCAATTTATTGAAATTATTTCACTTTTTACTTTTTAATCTTTTAATTGCCAGAAAGGCAGCACAGAGTGTGATGGTTCTTTCTCACATATAATGTAATTCGAGGATGGATGCCAGGTGAAGCAGCCCCTGGAAGATAAGTGGAAGCAGCAAGAAATATCAAGCTGCTATGTCAAAGTAGGAAGAGGGACCAGGGTAGGAAGACCCGAGGACTTCTCAAATGAGGGTGGGGTGTGTGATATCTTCAGCCTTCCACTTTGCAGACTGAGTCAATCTGCTGCAATGACCTGTGGTTTAACATTCTGTGACACTCACTCAATTGTACTTTATTCAAAAAACTATGGCTTAGTGCAACCTGTGAATAATGCTGCTCTGTAAATGGAAATCAAATCCAGTTCCAGCATTTTTCATGAAATGGATTCATGCAGTATCCATATTCTGAAAAGCATATAATGAGAAAAGGAATTTATGACTGCTGACAAATAGGAGATAGCTATCTAATGTGTCCTTCAGAAGCTTAATTTAGATCCACTGCTGTCAACAGACTTCTTAATTTAAAATATTTACTTTAAATGTTTTAAAGTATTCCTTTTATATTATGAAAAATTAACTGAAGATAATCATAAAACTAGCCTTTTCAACTTTAGAGTCATGCCTTTTTTTAAAACAGCAATTTCAGTGTTTCCTATTTACCTTCAGAAAAGACCAAATGTAAAACAAATTATCTCCCAAATTAGGTCTTGCCTACATCAGTCTAACAATACATTAGTCAGTCATGCAGTTCAACAAAGAGAAAAGCAATTCAGAAATACAAAGATCAAAACATATTTCAATGTCATATTTCATAGACATATTGAGCATAAACTAACATTGCATAAAAATCATATGAAAATAACTATATTTATTTATTTATTTATTTATCAAATTTATATGCCACCCATCTCACTATCCAAGTGACTCTAGGTGGCTTACACATAACTATAGCATAAATTCCAGATTTTATCTATAGAATAAAATGCAGCCATGCTTTTAAGTCACACAGATCATATAAAACTGGATAGTCTGAAATTTTACATGTTGCAATATATGAATATTACAATGTATAGTCTTATGCATTTCTACTTAAGGCCCATTGACTTCACTATACTTACTCATAAGTAAGTGGTATATAACTACATTCTGAATAATTTAATATTTGACAATGATAAGATTGCCATTAATACTATAAGTAAGATCAAAATCTGATATGACTCCATGCATATCTGCCTGTATATCTTGAGCAATGTCAGATTTTTTTTAGAAGAGCAGGATATAGGAAGCAGTGTCCCCGCGGTCACATGATCAAGTTTCAGGTGCTTGGCAACCAGCATGTATTTACAATGGGGTCATGTGATCACCATTTGTGACCTTCCCACCTGGCTTCCAACAAGCAAAATCAATGGGGAACCATGTGATTCACTTAACAGCTGCAGTGATTTGCTTAACGACCTCTACAAAAAATGTCATAAAATCGGGTGCAGTCATGTGATGCCTCACTTAATGACTGCACTGCTTAATGATGAATTTTCTGATCCCTGTTGCGGTCATAAGTCAAGGACTACTGGTATATTTTAATGGGGTTCTTAAGTTATTCATTTTTACCTTACACTGATTATTGTTGGCTGTTCAAAGCGCCACTGTTAGGGGAAAAGGTATAATATAATATAATAAATAAATAAATAATTTAAATAACATGATAAATTAAAATCAGGGGGCATCAGAACTGTTTCATGAAAACAGTGCCAGAGGTTGATTGGAAATTGTAAATCAAAGTTAACTAACAAGCTGAAAGGAACAGAATTGTTTCTTTAGCCATATTCTGTAAGGTTAGGAGTAAAGTATGTGGTAAAAGACTAGTCTCCAACTAATTCAATTTCTTAGCACATCTGGCCTGAAAAAAATATGGCCAAGTTCAGTGAGTCTTAACCTTCCTAGATTACAGGAACATTGGCCTGACTCATAGTTAGGTAGCTACTTTATAAAACAAAAAACCAAATCAGAATTAATTATTTCTATATTTAAAGTGTTATTCTTCTGTCTTTATTTAAAACAATTTGTAATCTAAAAAAGCCATTTTCCAGGATCCTCTTAGAAACATGTTTGTACCACTCAAACATGTAATAGTGTACAAAAGTTTAGGTACCCCTGGTCAAATTGTGCGTTTCAATAATCCCTAGTAAACAGAAGTTGATGCAACCTCTACATGGTACAAAGTTAAACATGACCTCTTTCTGCAAATTCAGATGCATACCTACTATTCACGCACAGATTTGTTCTCAATATTATTTATGTGTTAACATCTCCTACAGATAATGAATTTTAAAAGCTAGCAGAGTTTAGAAATATATTTCCTAGTTTTAAGTTCATGAAACAATAGCATTCCTGAATGGCTTAAGCATAGATTATTGTCATATCTTCCAGAGAATGGTTTCAGAGAGTATTGTCTCTGTCATTTACATTTCTAATAATGTATACTGACTAGCATATTCTAGTTCAGAGGTGGCAGTAAGTGGTCCTCTAGATGTTGCTCCCCCCCCCCATCAACCTTTACCACTGCATCCTTCAAGGATGATTTTCCATTTCCCAGCCAAGTCTATAGCCTGGTAGTCCTCCATCCAAGTATTATTCAAGCCCAACCCTGCTTAGCTTCCAAGGTCAGACAAGGTCAGCCAGGCACCTGCTCTAATTGCCTACAGATGATAATCAAAATAATGGGTCACATTCAGTTTAACAGTGAATGTCTGTTTCCCAGTGGTGACTTTGGCTGAAGTTGCAGGATAAGGCTGGGAAAGAAGAATATGTGTTTTATGGTTCCTGGTGCAAGCATTTTTTAAATTGTTTGATGTTACAAGCATTTTTCCGTACATTAATATACAAACACTAGTTTGGTGACTTTGAGCCAGTTACTCTCTCTCAGCCCTAGGAAGAAGAAGGTAAGGGGAAACCATTTCTGAAATTTCTGCCAAGAAAACTGCATGACTTGTTCAGGCAGTTGCCAGGAGTCAAGACTGACATGAAGGCGCACACGCGCGCACACACACACACAGACCCAGAGGATGTGAAAAACTCACTGATTTGGGAACAGAACACTTCAAAGAAGTCCGAAATGGTCTGTTCCCCTCTGGAACTTTGGAGTGGCTTGGCCTTTTCCAAAGCAAAATTTCCAAATTAGAAGAGATTAGAGGTCTCTCAGGTAGGGTCTGGCTCTGGAATAGGAATTTTTGGTCTAAAATACAGAAAAAAATTCCTGGTTACCTTAAATTGGTTCCATTTTGGAGGAATTACTTCTGGAAATTGCCAAATGGCTCCTAGAACAACACGTTCTATTCAGCATGGTGTGGAAGGAGAAAGAAATGTTCGGGAGTTTTCCAGAACGTTTCATTTCCAAATTGTTAAGTTTTGCACATCTCTAGCTGACACCATCAGGATAGGAAGTCTGCCAGTATACCATGCTCTTTTTTTCAGTACAGGCAACAAAACTTCTGGAACACATGATGGTGAGATGACAAACTTTCCCTTTGGCAATGATGAGATGGCTTGACCTGATAAATTACTGTTTTTACAGCTTATGGCAAAATGAGCTATTTATACTATTCCCTAGATTAAATTTCATATCTTTAGAAAGGATGTTTCCCTCAATGTTGAGGGAGCATAAAATATTTAGAAAAACTAAACAATGGGCAAAAATAGAAATAGAAAAATGAAGCGCCTGCTAAGATACATTTTACAGATAATTTACATGATAGGTCTGTTTGCTAATGTGAGTGTTGCATTGTTGTAGGTAACAGTGAACAATGGCCATTATCCATATTTAAAAATATACGCTGCTTACTCAGGTGTTTTAGATCACTCGTGTCTGCAAGGAGTGCAGTGGTGTAGTGCTGGTGGTGTTAGTTCTTCATTTAGCGAAAGGAGCTGGCAAGCACCGTAAACGCATCACCGACAGGTACAAGCATAAAATTCGGGCAGTCAGAAGAGCAAACATTCATAAAACGGCATACCAATCCAAGGCACATGCAGAAAAGCCAGCACTGTGAAACTTAAGCAAACGCATAGACCATTTTACACACTGTGGTGTGAAATACAAGTTTAATTCAACTGCTTACCCACTAAGTACACCAAGAACCAGGTTAAGTACGAAAAATGAGCCAAGAATGATAAGACTAACAAAATAGATCCATGGCCATTCACATCCTATTGCATCATTTACCTGTAAAATGTAAGGAAATACATTATGATTCAGCTACTCACTATATAGCAGAGTCCTTTCACAATTGACAGATCACACAGGTATTTGGTGTACTAGCACCATCTGCTCATTTTATCAACACAGTGCTTCAGCATTTACCAGATTTACCAACACTCTAGCATTTACACACGATGTGCAAGATAACACGTATTTAGTCATGAAAATGTACATAATCCTTTTGTATCTTTATGCCATGTGGAAATAGGCAATTGTTAAAGGGTTGGGCGCTTATTTTATTTGCACTGATCTCTAAGTTGCCAATTAATTTCTAATTAATGGTACTTTTTCATATCTAATGCTATAGTTATATTTAAACTGATTTTCTGGAGGAAAAAAATTCTCTTTGTTTTTTAGAAAATGGCCTTGTATTTTGTTCACACTATTTATCTTAGAGAAGCTCTGGTTCACCATGTTTTAATTTTGAAATTTTATTCCCAATTTTTTTATTTAATCTCTATATGCTACCTATGTGATCATGGCAACTGAAACCTGGACTCTGCTTCTAGGATGAAAAAGGTGTGTGCTTACCCGCTCAATACACCGAGAACAAGATTTAGAACGAAAAATGACCCAAAGATGACGAGACTGACAAAATACACCCATGGCAATTCAAATCCCATAGCATCATTCATCTGTAAGAAATAAGACGATCTTATAGAAACATTTGCTTCCATCTGTAATAATGAACAGTTGGTGACCGAAAACATATGCAAGAGAAATAAATACAGTCCCTTTTATAATTACCAGATATAAGGGGGAAAAGAAGATTAAAGAAACCCTTTTCTCATCACTTCAAATGTATATTTAGAAATAGCAGGGAAAGATACAAAAGCACCAGAACTCCATCGATTTTATACGATAATAATTCTTTTACATGCAAAAATGAATAGAAGTGAATGGCAATATGTAAAAAGAAACTTCTAGATTTTGCCAGACAGAAAGTTATTTTAATTGTAGCTCTTGCAAAGCCCAAAAAATTATAGCCTGGCATGGGGGAAAAAAATCTTAGCATGAGTAACATCCAACATTTAAGCAAGTGCACTTCCATTTATGTAATCAGATAGTCTGTGCCCTGTATAGGTGCTAAGGGATTCCCAATTCTCACAAGCAGGATAATACAGGAATTAGTACACTCCATCAGTGGAATGACACCACTAAATTCAATTCCAATTATTTACATGTGAAGTCTCAGTATCATAAAGTATTCCAGTTCAAAACCAGGAATTTAGTGTCTGAAATCCTGAAAAAAGATACAATGCTTATATATATATAAATAAACATCCCCTCTCACCCCTATGGGTGGTATGTGTCTTCCTCAATCTCGGGTCCTCTACCAGAGGCCTGGGAGGTTGAGGGTTCTGCGCAATATCTGAGCTGTTCCTAGCACTGCACTCTTCTGGACAGAGAGCTCCAAAGTTGTTTCTGGGATCTGCTGGCACCACTCTCCGAGCTTAGGAGTCACAGCCCCGAGCGCTCCTACCACCACTGGGACCACTTTGGCCTTTACTT